GTGAACATGGTTAGAATTAGAAAATTGCATATTAGGTCTATGAATGCCCGGAGTTGTGTCAATGTTGGCAAATTGATTAGGTTCATGTGAAATGAGAGAAATACTATTGGGGGCATATGTCTCATATATACTTTTAAATTTAAATATAAATACACCCATTATATATACTCCTGTATATATATATTTTGGTTCAGAAGTAAAAATAACAATGAGCTAATGCTTCCTAAGGAAAAATTTTGGGACTCCAGGTATTTTTTTTTTTGGCAACCATGTGCTATTTTTGTGTGTGTTGCTCTTGGATTGAATATCAATTTCCCCTAATTGTTTCAGATTACCTGGTCACTGCGGGCATGCCTGTCTTTGTGTTACAATAAGAAAATTGGTATGGCCATGGTTTTCACATATTCTTTTTTGCTGTATCTTATAATCCTGTCACATATAGTAAATTTGACATATCACTGGTCTCCATGGGTGAAAACCAGTATAGTTTCAATGAACCTTGATTCCTGTATGATGACCTGGATAGTTAATATTTACTCAGTGACTCAGTGTTGTTTATAAATGTCGATATTTCTCAGTTTCTTTTTCTCCCAAATATGCAGGAAGCCTTTCTGATTGTGTAATATTGCCACTGCCTGCATCCATCTTAGCGACCTAAGCCAGGTAACCCCACCTTTTGATTTCTTACGGCCTAACGCTGCCTAAAATTTCCACAATCCGTACTTCCTTAGAGAACTATATCCGCTTGCTAACTATTCCTGGTGTTCAAAATATTTAGTTCCACTTTAGTAATGCATTTGCTACTATTTACTGAATATTAAAAATAAATGATGGTGTTTGTTGATTGAGCATGCCATCTTTAGTTCAGATAGGGGAATAGTTAGCTTAGCATGAACCATGATGCTATGAGTAGATAAATAGCACAACTGTGTTCTGAATGTCTTGTCTATGTATTTGGATAGACATTTTATTGGTGATCCCAGTTTAGGGTTCGACGCTGTCTCTGGCCTTCGCATTTAAGATTCCTTTGTTCCACCCTTTGTTTCTCTGAGCTTCGCAGAACTTGCTGCCCCCTTTATGCCACTCTTTGTCGTTGTTAGTAGCATCAAGAGAGGAGCAGCTTTCATCAATTGATTTATTTTTTAGTTTTATGATTTATTTTTTCTAGACGCCACCATAGTGTTAGCACGAGCAATATACTATGAGGAAAAATAATTGCCTAGGTTTGGCACATCATTCAATGCTGATCATGCACACAACAAATTTTTCTTTTGGGTCGCAAGATAGTCTGTTGATCTTGTGTGATTGTTGCCAACTCTGAATGCCTTCAGGTTCTGAAGAGCACCTGCAGGAACTCATCAAGAGTGCTCTTCTTGCTGCCCTATAAGGTATGGAGAGAGGGCTGCTTCTGGGCAGGACGAGGATACTGTTTTGCTTGGTGAACGAGGTTTTGGGATAGCCATGTCTTCTTTCTATTTTATTTCGTAAGATATGCAATTGCTTACAACTGCATTTATACCTTCAGAACTTGAAGTTCGTTGCTTCAGTGATACTATATAGAAGTTTCTACTGTCATCATTTATATAGACATTTGCCATTGGAACTTGATCATTTTTGCCTTATTTCTGTGGTATATGCTTCCTTTCTTGGTCATAGACATCGTCTGGTCCATGCTCATGTGTACAGTGATAACCATATACATGGTTCCCTTCCAGAGCAGTTGTGGTTTCATTAGCCAACAGCGACGTCTAGGATAGGAAGTAGTAAGGTTCCCTTGCAGACATTTGCCCTTGCAGCACAGTTGGGCAAGGGGCACCAGCAGCTGTAATTCAGACATCCACACAAGGTTCATTCAGTTTACCTCCTAGACCAAGTAACATGTTCATGTTTCCACGATGCTAAGGCCAAAAGGCTTGTCGTTTTCTGCTTGACATTAAAATAGTAATTTGTTTATTAAATTTACCGTTGTGTTTGTTCCCATACCTCATGAAAAGTTTGTGGCTGTATCTCATATGCAAGGAGGCAGTGAGAAATGTTTTTTTTTCAATGAATAGGCGTGACGTTGTAGCCACCCTATCTTGTCGCAGGGCATTAACATTAAAAAGGCTAACTTGCATATTCAGTTTTGGTATGAGAGCTACATTAAAAAGGCTAACTTGCATTTTGGTCAGCACCACAGATACATTGTTTTGTACTTTTACTGAATCAACTGGAGGTTGTCCTGCTGCTGAGAAACTTCACTATCAGATTCGGAGTCAGAGGAAGCGACATCTTCACTATCAGATTCAGAGTCAGAGGAAGCGTAGAGCTGTTCATTAACATAAGTCAGTGTATATATAAATTGTCTTAGCCATCAGGGTGAGTCAACAGATATGATTATGTCTTGATTCCGTTTATGCTATGTATTAATTTGATATCTAAATGGAGCTAAATAACATGCTGGTTATTTGCTATGCTGATTTTGCGAGCTGATTTTTAGTAAGAAATAATCCTTGTATGGAAGTATCTTTTGGTTGTTTTGTTTTTATGTGCATCCCTAAAATGAAGCCGTGGCATTAGCACGAGCACTGTACCAGTATTCTTACTGACCCGAAATTACATCAGAGCTTGTTTGCTCTTTTGCACATTTATTCCTCCTGTTAGTCATGTAGTATAAACATGAAAGGTTACCTCTGTTGGTAGTATTTACTGGTCACATAAAAAAGTTGCTGCCTCTAATGGTTCACTAGATATCTTTCCTTTGGTTACTTGCTTTTGTTTATCTTTCCATTAAGAATGGCTATTTTTTACTCCCTCCATTCCAAAGGATTCAGAATTGTATATACGCCCATCATATACTCTCTGTTTAGACATGATGAGTATGAGAAGTTCAGGAGATGTTTGAGACATGTTTCGAATTGGCTTTCTTCTAATCATACGTGACAACTTCATTGATTCTGACAACAGTCCATGTTCTTTTTCTCCGCAGCACACCAACCGATTCAGCAAGTGAAGAGTAATACAGTTCGCGGGTAATCTTTTGGCTTTGGGCGTTGGATTAGTTTAGTTGCACATCTGCATAGTGCATAGCGCTAGAATACCTTTTACAATTCTCCAATCTCTGCAAAGCAAGGAAGGCATTGGCCTGTAATAATGTTTGCTCTCTCCAATTCTGCACTACAAATGCTCTTGTGATGTCAGATTTTTCTCTAACGCTTCCAGTGAAAAGGAGACCTTTTGAGACTGTTTCTAAATTTTGTGTGCTGTTAGCCTATCTTTACACTTTATGTTATGACCGGCATGCATTATGGCCGGCGAAAGGGTATTAGTGGCTAAGTCTAGATAATTTCTATAGAATCAGGGGGTTATTTTCATATTTCAATAGACGAGATAAATACTTGTGATCAGGGACTAATTTGGTAAGCAGAAACATATTATTGTTTCCGGCTTCCTGAAGGGAGCCGGGAGAAACCCTAGCCGCCGAGTTCTCTTTCTCTCCCATGAACAGTACCACGATACTGTAGCGCCTTCGTCGCGTTCCTCGCTCTTCGTTGCGACCAGCTGCAAGGACGGCGCCCCAGAGCCGTCGCCGAGCTCGTCCCCCGATCTCTCACCCTTACAACCTCCGACCATTCGCCGGTAGGATCCAAAATCCTATCACTTTACTTGAGATTTATTATGCTCGTGATTCATTACTTCATACTAGCTCATACTTTCATAGGCTCGCTGCTTCTGTGATTGGTAGACTTGTTTGCTGCCTTCATTTGCCCTTTTTGAATGGAATTAGGCCTGGTTTAGTTACCAAAAATTTTCACCCCAAACTATCACATCGAATCTTGTGGCACATGCATATAGTATTAATATAGACGAAAAAAAACTAATTGCATAGTTTGGTTGGAAATCGCGAGACGAATGTTTTAAGACTAATTAGTCCATGATTAACCATAAGTGCTACAGTACTAACATGCGATAATGATGGATTAATTAGGCTTAATAAATTCGTCTCGCAGTTTCCAGGCGAGCTATGTAATTAGTTTTTTTTATTAGTATCCGAAAACCCCTTCCGACATCCCCAAAATATCCGATGTGACATACAGAAATTTTCATTTCGCTAACTAAACACAGCCTTAGTCATGAAAAGCTCAAACTAGGCAAACAAATTCTCATCTGAAGGTCATTGCAAACACCCTCTTAGCTGGCAAGGCGTTGCAGCATGTGATTTGGCATTCCTGCTTCTCCTGCCATCACAGAACCAGCCGGAACGGGCGGTGGTCTTCCTCTCTTCTCGTCAGAGTTAGTAGTACACTAGTACCAACTTTTCAGCTCCAACTTGGCAACTTGCGTGGATTGATCGTCGCCAAAAAAAAAATGCACTTCAGCAAAGCAAGTAACCAACTTCTAGAAATTGAGCCTGTTCGGTTGGTTAGTTCGTATCGTTGCTTGTTCGTTTATGTAAGAGAGAAATACTGCTGCCTGATTTGCGTGAAACAGTAGCCTTGTGAGGGGGCTAGCCAGCCAGCCCAGACAGCTCAGCCCCAGCGATCAGGCTGATAAGCACATACCATATGCGTGACCCTGAACCTGCAACGCCTCGGCATTAGTAAACCATCAAACTGCCAAGAGTAGCTAGCCAAAACCCAGCTACATTCTCCAAACAAAAGCGAACGTCTGAACCTTGCTATTGTCTACCAACTCCCAAGTGGTAGTGATACCAATCGCCAAACTCAAACTAACAAAGTCTACACTGAATTTGGGACCGTCCTAACTTTCTAACAAGCCACTTAGCCACACCAACATTCTACAATATTCGGTACTGAAGTATCCATACAAGAAATTTTACAAATTTTGAAAGAAATGTCCGCAACCAAAAAAAAAACATTGGGAATTGTATTGGCACGTACATAAAGTGAGCCCTGCTCCAAGGCTCCAATACGCACCCATATACTCCTTGTAGTTCTGGATTCTGGCCAAGAACTTCCTATTCTTTCTACCGGCCAGAGGGCAGCAAGGAGCACGCCGAAATGGCCGCATCGGCGCCCATGCTTGTCCACGTCGAGTCCCTCCAGACCGCCGTCCCGATGCATCATGGCCGGGGCGGGAAGTCACTGCCCATCGCGGTGTCCGGGCCGCCGTTCACCGCCGCGGAGCTGCAGCGCCGCTTCCGCGCCGTGCTCTACTACCGCGGCGCGGGCACTGAGGTGGATGCCGTGGCGAGGGAGCGTGCGGCGTGGGTGAAGGAGTCACTCTGCGCGGCGCTGGTCGACCACCCGGAGATGGCAGGGCGGCTGCGCCGCCGTGGCGACGGCAACGACGACGACGACCACGGGCGCCTCTGGGAGGTGAAGCTCAGGGACACCGGCGTGCGGCTGGTCCAGGCCTCGGTGGAGGCCACCATGGCGGAGTTCCTGGAGGAGAGGGGCATCGACCGGGAGAGGAAGGAGGCCGCGCTGGCGCTGTGGACCGACGTGGACGTGCACGAGTGCGCCCGTTGTTCATACAGGTACGTACAGTGATCAGTCACAACTCACAAGACACAAGTAACTACTCACAAGTAAAAACTAGATCTAACAATTTCCTGTTTTTATTCTTTCGCAGCTGACACGATTCTTGGACGGCGGCTACGCCCTCGGCGTCAGCTGCAGCCTGCTGCTCGCCGACCCGCTGTCCCTCATCGGCTTCCTCAAGTCGTGGGCTCGCAAGAACACGGAGATGCAAGCGCAAAGCAAGCACGTCGCCCACCCGGTGATCCAGTACACACACTACATCCAGACCCCAGGCGCCGCCAAGCGCGTCAAGTCCACTTCCACGCTGCACACTGCGACCGCCACCGCTGCCGAAGACAGCAACACGACGACCGTGCTCTTCGGGGCTCCCGACACGACGTCCGACCACCGCGCGCTCGCCGCGGCCTGCGTCGGCATGGCCAGCAAGAGGCTCGGCGGCGCCAAGGAGCCCCCGCGGTTCACGGTTATGGCCCGCGACAGCTCGAAAGGGCTGCACGTCCAGACCTGCGGCACGGTGGATTACGGTGATCGCGAGGCCTGCCATGGGCATGGACACGGACTCGAGGCTCGGGTCGCGCAGTGGAGCGAGGCCGGTCTCGAGGACCTGGCACTGGAGGCGAGCAAGCCCGTGCACGTGTCCTACTCCATCTCACCGAGGGCCGACGAGGGGCTCGTGGTTGTGATGCCTGCAGGTGGTGCCCAGCTCTTGATCAGCGTGACAGTGCCGAATAACATGAAATTTCGAAGTGCCTTGCTGTTCTATAGTTGCATGATGCGTAATCTCTTCTTCAGTGAAAAGTGCTGTGCTGTACTTTTAGATTTTTTTAGGGCTGTGAAGATGCGACTTGGGCCACCTCTACCTTTTTTTTAGTACTAGCAAATTTGCTCGTACCACTACGAAGCTGTTTCGTGACTTTTTTCAGAGTGGTCCTGGGGTTCCTTTGTGAACCGTTTGTTAGCGAAGTGTTTGGTTAAATTCGCTCTCCAAATTCATGAACTGACACCAAATGCACGCGGATAAGTGTTTTCGGCATGGCCCTAAGATGCACGGTTTTTGCCCTAGGACTGACTGTTTCGCTCGTTTTATGAGATGCAACTCATGAAAAAAGCTCGATGGTGTGGAAGCTTTGAAGCAATTTGGGTCTTACAACTTTGTTCCCCGTAAAGCGTAGAGCAAACAACCCCCACCCCCATCCAATCGCCGCCCCACCACACCCCACCCCACCCAGATTGTCCCTACTTCCAGAAATAAATGGAACAATGGTGTGGCACCGCCCCTGTTTAGATTTGACCCATAGACCATAGTGAACCATGTGTATATGTGGGTTATATGAGTTTAATCATATCTTAGTCATTGAAGGTGGGTTAGACCAATATATAAGATTTCTAGAGTATATGGCACCATTCCGGTTTAACCCTTTTACGCGAAGCGATGACGGAAGCGTAAATGAGTTGGTGGTAATGTATAGTTCACTCAACGTGCAGACTAAGTCTGATTCGTTTGGACTCTAGGACGTTACATATAGGCTAGAATCCCTAGCCTCCCACCACAGTCTCCTGGTGGAAGATGATGAAGCAGACCACATGCCTCACAACCACTCTATGTTGAGGCCTAGGGGGCCTCACAACTGCCAGCTACCTTTGAAAGGCCCTATTGGGTCAGGGACTCTTAAGTTTGAGAAGTCGAAAAGGTCACCCTCTGACTCCACCCATCACAAGGACTTGGAGCATGCTGCCGTGAGGCAAATGGGGGCTCCTTGATATTGGCCATTCCTAGCGTCTAGCCTCGTCGCTTGAATCGGGTTAAAGGTCTAAGTCCTAAGTATTTATAGGTGTAGATCCTTGCTAAATTATTTATTGTAATCTGTTTCAAAATTGAAGATGTTTTATTTATGCTATCTTGGAATGGATATGGAAATGGGTCGAAGCTAAAAATTATCTGAAACATGAAAACATCAACAACTTTTGGATGTAAGAGCTTGAGCCTAATGGCTCCTATTTGTATCGACTCACCTGAGCTATGTACCGTCTCCGTCTGGAACTTTTGTTCCCTTATTAAAAAAACAATATTCTAAAAAATTGGCCAAACCTTTTTCCTTGGTCTTTCACAATCTTAGCGGCAGATAGTTCGGTGACCGGTACGGTCTGGTTCGGATCATTCGATGCTCACACAATAAAATAGAATCAAGCTAATTTTGACTATATCAACACATCCAAAATGCAATAGTACGGTGTTAGTACGAAATAGGAGCAATTAACCTAAGCAGTTATCTCCTTCCTTACACCACCTGTAAGTTTTATCGAATTTCTCCGAAGAGACTACACCACCTGTAAGTTAGCGCCCTGGCCATCTTTATAGAGTCGGAGCATACGGAGGATTACTTGAAAAAATTTCATTTTTGGAGGGTCCGATCTGATTTCATAGCATCTATTTTTCTCTCTGTACACTTTTTTATAAGGCGTTCCTCTGTACTTAGGATTTGACTTGTTGCTGTGGATGAAATTGGTTGCTTTGTTGATTTGGAATATAGCTAGGGATGTCTACTTGTCCGGCTCGAGATCATTTCGGTTGCATGTGTGTATTGCATACTACTTGTTGTACGCCTGCAGCAATATTTTTTATTATTTGTTGCAATTTCTGTATGGTCTTGCATTGGGCTTGTTGCACTATGCTTTTTCAGTTTGCTGGGATGACTATTGTTTTTGTTGCATCGTCAAGTATTATATTGCAAAAGGAAAGTGATGCGTTGTCTATATGAGACCACTCAGATAGAGGTGTTTAGTCTGTGGATCCTTGACTTCGTTGAAATCTTGTTGCAAATTTTGTCGTGGTGTGGCCTAGGATGTCGATCTGGTAGTAGGGAGCTCCATGACGAGGGACATCTTGAGAGAGAAGAGTGATTCGGCTCAAATATTAATTCCATTAACGTTTCCATTTGTTAAGGTGAATATTTGTGCATGGTCACACACAAGAACTCCCACGTTTGTTCAATCGGACGGCAAAACCTGAGTCCGATACTAGCTTTGGGCACTAAACGGCCATGAAATCGTTATCGTGGATTTATTAAGAGGTTATAAAACGAACATGTTAATGCTATGGCAATAAACTACTAGAAATATCAAGTACATATGGCTTTACCGATGGCATGTTCACGCTTAGGTGGCGTTTTATTCATGGGTCGTTGGACAAGTGAGATATCTCACTTCGTCCCGGATTCTTGGTGTTTAGGTCAGGAACATCAAGGATGAAGTCGTGGAGATATTCCTCTAGATTCGAGGATAGATCCATCCATAGAAAAACGATGGTACACGCTAGTCATCTCTCGACGTTTCCTATTGTCAGCATCCTCGACAACAGGTGTTGGTTGGTGCGGCAGCGGCCAGCCTCCATGTCGGCAAGCTCTGCCCCCTGAGAGAGAAGGCAAGCACACCAGGCGCGAGTGGGGTCTAGCACTCCAGAGTATTAGGGCGAGCTTTGTCACACCACGCACACACACACACACGAGAGACATTCGCCTCGACAGACAAGCGGGCAAGGCCAGGAGCTGAAGCGTGGGGTTAGGCGTGGGCGATGGTTGGTGCAATGGTAGATAGGGCGGGCGGGGTCGAAGCTATAAGCAGAGTGCTAGCATGTTCGGAGGCAGCGACTGACAAAGCTGGTGTGGCCGGTTGCGAAGATGAAAACCGAGTATGTGTGAAAAAGGAAGAAAAAGATGAGAGAGGATGACATGCGGATCCCTGTGATGGATGTCTAACAAATGCCAAACAATCCCCTCAGTCTCCGTACTTTCAACAAGTATAGAGTAGAACTATCTCATCCACTCAACTAAACGCACAGATGGAACCATTCCGTTCTAGAAAACAAGAATGGACCAGTTCCGTCCCTCCTTGTCTTCAAACCATATACAACCTTAACCGTGTTAGTGCTAGACGAATAGCCCTTCTAACCAAATGCAGAGCACATTCTCATCGCCTCAATCAAACGCAAAGATAGAACTATTTTTTAAGGAATAAGATACGATGGAACCATTCCATCATAGAAAATTGGAATGAACTCATTTCGTCTCTCGTTGTCCCCAAACCAAACGCAATAGCATTGCTGGTGCAAGAATCGCCCTTCTATTTCATTATGAATATATATCCATTCAAGAAAAAACTATTTTTGGTGAATTTTCGGTTCCCTAACCGTTGCAATACCCACGGTAAAGGTTCCAGGTTGCTGTCCATGTTCCCTGTGTAATAAGCAAAGCAACTCATTCAATGGCGATGCTCTACCAAAAAAATAATTCGGTACACAAATTATTGGCTTTGTTCAGCCACCATCGTCTACTTACTACAAATAAGTACTTATACGGTGGTGCACCTTTGTATTAGGTATACATTAATCGTTTCCAGGCTCTTCCTTCTCTTTTCCCTGGGGCAAAGGAAGCCAACCTTCGTCGTACGCATTTGTGCGAAGACTAAAGTGACAAGAGGTACGCAATTAACGAAATTCGGCCACCCCCAGCCATCACTACTACCGTAACTAACGAAATATCCGTATACGTCGTACATCCCACAGAGACAAAAATGAAACAACGCCTGATGATCACCGATTGGCCTATATTTTTCTCCCCTTAATTCCCCGCCAGCTTCCAGCGTAGAACACGCGTCCACGTCACTTTAATTATTTAAGGCCGTTGGATCTTGCATCGTGTGGCCACCGTTATTTGGAGCGGATTCGTCCAGAAGCGGCTTCTGCCGCTCCTCCTTCTCTTCCATCGGCTTTCCCTTTGCTTCTCTCAGTGTTGTGCGGCTTCTACCCCGGAGCCGGCCCACCAAATATATATGCGGGCTTCTGATTCTCATTCCAGATTCTTCTGTCTCTCCCCGTCTCTCCTTTTCTCTCCCGAGCGGACACGGCTCCAGAGGCTGCGCCCCCTCCTCCTCCCTCGCGCGGCGCCGTGCCCGGCGTACGGCCACCGCCGGGCCGCGGCGGCTGCGGCGTCCTCCTCCTCCTCCTCCTCGATCTCCCCCTCGCGTCGCGGCGTGCCCTCACGGCGCCAGGCGCTGGCGGCGCACGACAGCGTCCCCAGGCTGCGGCGCGGCCCCGCCCATGGGCCCCGGTGGTGCTCGTCCCCGGCCACGGCGCCGCGCGAGCGGGCCTCGCCGGTGGCCGCCGGCGTGGCTGCCCTCTGGCGCTCCCTCCTCTCTCTCCGTCCCTCTGCTCCGCAGCTGCTCACGTGCTACAATAAGCCCTAGCTGCCTGTGCTTCAGGTCGCGTCCGCCCAGCGCCGACCTCGCCCGCGGCGGCGGTGCCCAGCTCCCGCCTGGAGACTCTCGCCGGCAATAGCAGCGGCGGCTACGTGGATGACAAGGTATACATTCAGTTCGTGCCTTCACTGGATTTAGCTTTTTAGTCAATTCCTCATAAACGGGACTTTGAGTAGTTTCGTTAGATGTTAGTATGCATGTTTGTTTTTGAAGATTAAAAAAAATTAGCTTCCATAGATGTTAGTATGCACTTCAGCTGTAGGTATTCCTGACCAAACTGTCCACCTATTGCCAAACTGCCAACGTGAAGTATAGTACATTGTTTTCCTTCCAGTTGGTTCGTTTCTTCAAAAATACATTGGTACTGGATGCATTGGGTCTGCTTCTACTTAGATTTGTCACACATGTGCATACAAAATTGTATGGTCATAAAAAGGGCTTAAGGTATGTATCATTGATCATCTTTCAGTTCGGAAAAAGGAATGATTGCTACTTATCTGAAGATTCATGTATGAGTAAATGATGGTCTAGGCTTTGTTGACTTGGACTGTGAATTTTATCTTGCCAGTTTGACTTTAGGATCTATAGTTTGTTCTCTAATTAATTGTGTTTCCTATT